ATGGCAAAATTTTTTCTTGCTCTGCGTATTCACATGAGGCATTTTGGACTAAAATTTGGTGTTCCAAGGTCTTATAGTCTCCGAGATATAGGCGATTATACGAATGGGAAATCGGGAAAACCCCCAAAGGGGGAAGTGGGGGGGGAATCATAAAAAACGTGCACAGCGTACACACATACGACATCTTAGTGCAAAATTTGGTGTCTCTAGCTCTTATAGTCTCTGAGATCCAGGTGTTCATACGGACAGACAGACAGATAAGGCTAGATGGACTCGTCTTGTCATGCTGAATATATATACTTTGTGGGGTCTGTTACATTTTTCACCTCCCACAAATCTAATATAGTCTTGTGCATTTCATGTACCTGATTTTAAACGGGCAAAGAGTTCAGGTGCTCTTTCAGTGAAATAATACGAGGCACATTGAGAGTTTATAACTCAAGCGTTTTCGTTATCTTATTGTTTTTTGCTTCACTCCAGTGCATTATGAGTTTCGTGACGTTTCCCAATTTGCTTTACTTTTTGTTACCACGTAAAAGCTCCCCCACCTAATTTATTGTATATCCAGGCAGTAGTAAGTGGATTTTTCTTTTATCGCCCCCTTCCCCTTAGCTCAACCGTACTATGTCTAAAAGCTGCAATTATTCTGCGAAAAAAACGTGTGCCTAAACGAAGGTAGCCGAAGTATTAAGTAAAACCTTTTTTGCATAAGCTCTGCACCACTTAAATCTTAGCTGGATGGAAAAAAACACTTTCCTTCGAGCAGGGAAAAGATGAGCCACTGAATCCGCACAGTTGTGCGCAGCTGCCAAGTCAGATTTGTTACCATTTCTCAGACGCCAAGCATCGGGCGTTTCTCATTCGCTTAGGTGGACAATTAAAGTTGTGCAGTTAAAAGGCGGCCATTTGTTAAAACGCCAAGATGAATGCCATCTTCAGTGAGCGGCATATGTACAACAAAAAGACGGGTGGCAGCCACAACAAGCAAGTCTCCTGGACTAGAATTAATATTTTTTCGCTGAGTTAACACACTTTCAAGTTGGCTGCGCGAAAAGGGAAAATCGCAACCGGCAGTCACTTGATGCGGCATTTTGCATTTTCTGGTCAACGGAAGTGGCCGCCACATGCAGCTGTTGTTCAGCCATTGCTCTAGTTTTTGTAAATGTTGGTGTTGGTGTTGTTCTGCGCACCTTTGTGTGCATACTCGTATGTGTACGCCTGTGTGTGCTGGTGTGTTAGCTGCAGCTGCGCTGATAATAAATTCATGATGAAGTGCAATTTATACACTTCATATACTTCTGCCCTGCATTGTCCGTTTACTCGCCGCCTTTTCTGCTGAGCTCAGCAGCCTTGGCAAGGAACCGGGTACCTCCCGGCGAACATTTAAGATGGCAGCGATGCATTAAACCTTGAAATTTGTGCGGCCCAAAAAGTAATTACGAGCGTCTGCCCCTAACAAGTGTTCTACGAATATGTACAAGTATGTGAGAAACTTTTAGCAGCGAGTGAAAGAAATTTACATTTTCAATTTCATTTGAAATTAATCTCATTTTTGTGCAGCCCGCCTAATGAGAAATGCAGATTTGGCATTTCACGCTGCTTGCATACAAATGAACGTGCAAACATGGGCGTAGCTCAGGAAGCCAATACGAGGAGCTGCGCCCCTAGAATCTCAACAATACGAAAATATGTATACAAATGATCCTATGAAATGTCAGGTATACTTATTATCCTGTCTCTTACTCAAAGGGTGCGTTCTTCTCGGCGTAGCTCCCGATTCTCTGGATATTAATGTTATCAAAATAATTGTTTGTACGACTCTTCTGAATCGTATCAGAAATAGTCAGAAAATACTCGTAGTTGATGTAGAAAAAAAACTTACTACTTTCACAAATAATAGTACCTATTTTTGTTAAGAACCAAATGTTTCATTAATGTCATTTTAAAATACATATAAATAATTGAGAGATAAATTTTCTCTCTTCATTACTTCCAATTTTAAATTATTTTATTTCTGCAACGTTAAGTGGGTAAAGGCTATTAAAAATGGTCTTATGGCAGAATGCTAATTATTTTTAATAACCAAAAGCTCATTGCGGGGAAGTAGGTGGGTTTATCGAAAGAAACGTAACCTTTTCCTGTCCCTATCTTGAAACACAAGTACTACACCCAGTTTAGTGGCTAGATTTTATACATTCGGTTGTCTATAGCGATTCGTCTTGTCATATTTATCAAGAAAACAAATACTTTGTAGGGGTCCGAGTTCTTCTTTGTCGTTAAAAGACAATTTTTTCAAATGTTTTTCAACATTTATTTGGAAGTTTCATTTCGTACTTTTCTTTCGTTGTGACAAAGAAATCTGACGGTCATAAGTATAAGGCAACTCCAATATTAGTTCTTTTAACAAACTTAAGACAACATATTGGAATTATAAACAAGATAGAACGCTACAGTCGAGCACGCCCGACAGTAAAATAGCCTGTACTCTCCACAAAAAAGAAAAATTAAAAAAAGAAAAATTAAAAAAAAAAATTTTTTTAAAAATAAAATTATTAAAAAAAATGAATGAATGAATGAATTAATTAAATTAAATTAGAATACATGTTTATGTTCAGTTTTAACAGCATACATTTACATCACGTACCTATGCGTGTTTACATGCGTGTATACATACAGCACAAAGTTGAACCAAAGCAGCAACAACAACAATAGGGCAGCGGGCAGCGCTGCCGACAGAGCTGCAGGCAGCGCATGAGTAGCGATTTTACTTATGGCTATAACTTTCTTCAGAATTGACCTATCATGATGAAATTTGGCACACGGACACATTAGTACTAACTGGATGTACCTACCAAAATTGATTTTAAAATTCCGAGAATTACGGAAGTTATAAGAAAAAATACGAATTGCGGGGGAGTGGGGGGGGGGGGGTGTATCAGAAAAAATAAAAATAAATAAAAAATAAACAAACTCGTTCTGCCTAGGGCTTGATACCAATTTTGTTTATCCTAGCTCTTGTACTTACTGAGATCCTTGCGCTCATACAGACAGACGGACAGACGGTCAGACGGACAGACGGACATGGCTATATCGACTCGTCTTCTCATCCTGATCAAGAATATATATACTTTGTGGGGTCTGCCACGCCTCCTTCTGTGTGTTACATACATGCGCACAAAACTATTATAGCCTTTCACCCTTTGGGTACAGGCTATAAAAATAGGGTCCAAAGGCGCTTTTTATACCCTGTACCCGTAGGGTAAAAAGGGTATATTAGGTTTGTGCAAAGTATGTAACATACAGAAGGAAGCATCTCCGACCCCATAAAGTATATATATTCTTGATCAGCATGACGAGAGAAATCGATCTAGACATGTCCGTCCGTCTGTCCGTCTGGATGAACGCGAGGATCTCAGAAACTATAAAAGCTAGAATAACCAAAGTTGGCATCCAGATTCTCCTATGGCCGAGTAAGGACGAGTTTATTTTTTTTTTTAATTTTCCCCCCCTTCCCCCGCTTCAGAATTTCGTCAATAGCGTCCACATTTCAAATGCTACCTCAACCACACATAATTTATATATAATTATCTACTGTTGTTTAAAATTGTATCCAATTCGGTCAATTCTGAGCAAAGTTATTAGCGAAACAAATTCTCGCCAGTACAACCCCCACAAACTGCAGCAACAAGTTCGCTCTTCTTCTTCCTCTTTTTGCTGCTGCTATGGGCGCATATAACTCAGTGACAGTGACAGGGTACAGGGTATTTCACTGTCGGGCTTGCTCGACTGTAGCGTTCTCTCTTGTTTGAAATTGAATTCCTGGCTACGCCCATGGCTGAAAAGTGGCCATCAATAGTGAGCTCTATGTCAGCAGCCAATGGTCAGTCTTCCAGCCCAATTACATATCATTTTAAGCTCTATTGTTGGCATAATTAGTGCTAGGTTTGTTAATGGACTGCTGAAGACTGATTACCATAGTGTTGCCAGGAATGAGTGCTGTATAATTTTTGACGTTACAGCTCTGAATTGAACGTGTTGGAATGCATACACATTTATATGTATGTACATACTCGCGTTGAAATATGTTTCTTACTGAAAGCAGAAAAAATTTAAATAATTTAAAAAACTAGCTAGTAATTCTATTGCTGTTATAGGCCGTTCTAAAATTATATTGAGAAAATAGTTGACGGAAAAATTTTGTAAGCTTAAAATTTAGTAGTAGGACAAACCTTAGGATTAGTTGCTTGTCGCATTGGGTAAATTTTGACAAGCCTCAGCGGGGCCAACTGTCAAGTTCTTATTCAGGCGAGCTGCGAATCGAGTTTTCTTCTTGTTCTGTCTGTATGTCGGAGTCAGTCGAATATGTACGTACAAATATTTAAAATCAAAGAACTTAAATATATTTATAAAATCGTATGTTAGTAAAATTATCAGTTAGTAATAATATCAGTTAGTAATAATATCAGGAATGGAATACTCTTTAGCTACAGGGTATAAAAGTTTTGTGCGCATGTACCCACAAAGTATGACAAAACGAGTCCATACATAGCCATGTAGGAAGATCAAGCTTATGTGTTTTTTTCTGATGCTCCCCCTCCGTCCGTCCATCCGTCCGTTTATATGAATGCAAGGTGAAACTACAAACAGCTATGAGAGGGGTTTCATTGAAACAGAAAGAGAAATTTATGAGACACACCACAAAAAATATATTCTAGCATTTCTCAGTGAAGAATAACTAAACAACTGTTAGTTTATTTTCAGAAAAGTGGCAATTTCTTTAAATAAATATCATGGTAAAAAAATATTAACTTATACTTAAGTCCTTTTCCACGTTTCGCTAAGTGTATGTACACCCGGTAGCAGTTGGTTTTTGCACATTTATAAAATCATTGGTAGGAACTCAAAAAATATAAATCAGTCAAATATTGTATATTTCACGGTCTTAATACTAACATACGTGTATGAAAATCGCACGCTTATTATACCAAAAAGTCAAGTTGCGTTCATTAACCCTCGACGTGATGGGGCAGTTGGTGATACTGCTCCAGAAGCTCTCGTTTGGATGGTGGCTGCTGCAGGTGGTTAGCCATGCTACGATCACCGGCAAAGGGCAGCGACACCAGCATGCTGAAGAGTTTTCTTCTACCAAAAACAGAGACAAGAAAACGGAATAAGCCGCTTATTGACACATTGTGTGTTTATTGCTTTTCTTACAAGATCGAGCCGGAGCGCTTCGCGCGGCATTTGCCATGGGCATCTCGAAACTGATGCGGGCGACAGCGCGATGAATGGACAGGAGCAGGTACTGGTGATGCTGTTGGTGCCTCTGGTGCTGTTCGTTGCACTTTGACCTTGAATATGGGCGAGTTTTGGCCCTGTGGCGGCGTGTACTCAATGTTCTCCAAGGCGGGGCGTGTTGGGGGCGTCGAAATCAATACAGCGGGCTTCGATGTGGTGCCAGTTGTGGACATAATAGCTGCCCCTGGTACGGGGACATCTCTGGTGCGGCCTCTGAGTGCTGCTCTATAAGCGGCTGGCAGCAACGTCGATGAGGTGCTAATGGGCGTCTCCATGATCATCAAATTACTGTGCCTTCCACTGCCACGCTGGGCCGCCTGCGTGGCAGCTATGTCCGCCAACAGATTGGCGCTGTAGGTGCTAGTATTGGCAGGAGCTTCTGGTGATGTTGTTGTTTGTGTTATTCTGATTGATGTTGGTGCTGTTGACACGTCGGGCGTTGTTGAAAGTGTAGTCGACGTTGTTACTGCATCTAACATTGTTGTTGTTGATTGTCCAGTTGTCGTTATTGGCGTTGTAGTTGCTGGGCTTGGCGTTGGGAACTTGATCGGTTTAATGGTCAGATCGCTATCATCGTAGTAGTAGTCCTCCTCGCTATACGTTTCCTAACACATAAAAACGTAAGACGTAAGTTATTTTTAGCAGCAACTCGTTAGTTTCACTTTTCAACTTGTTTTCGTCTGTCTCTGTATTTGGCCGTCCTTCTGTCCGCCACTTACATCTGCAATCTCATTCTGATCCACCTCAATTATGGCCACGTCCTTTATGCTGACGTGTATGTTGTACTTTCCCGTCTGCCGCTGATCGAACAGCAGCCGTCCGCCGCTGGCCTCGGCATCATCTATAGGTGATGCCCAAGCACCAACAACGACCGTCATTAGTGTGAGGATCCACATTCTATGGCCTTGGCTATTCGTTCTTATCTTTCGCGACATACTGGTGAACGCAGACAACATTGTAGTTAGACGACGTCTGTTCACAGTGAGGCTGCGTGTGCAACTGAAGCTGCCGACCGCTAAATGGGTTCTTCTTAAAGCATATGGCCGACGTTCTTCTTCTAGTGGTACAGCAAACATCGCTTCGGGAGCTACGCACGAGTATGGAAAATGCTGTATCTATTCGTTTGCACTAGAGGCGCTTAGGGCGATGAGACCATACAGTGGATCTGTGGAACATGTTTTTGTGTGCCCGTTGTCTTATCTTTCTTTGCAGGTATGATTGGTTAAAGTTTACTTAGTGAACTCCTGCCCATCGCACCGTTTTCCCGACTTTTTGTCACAGTCTGTAAGAGCTAGCTGAAGTTGAAATTATTTTAGCTGATCTGAATTGCCCATTTGGTCCCTGGATGCGTTCCTCAAATGAATGCGCATTGTACGGCACTAGATAAATACATTCAACGCAGAACCTATTGGCTAAGGAGGTGCGTTAATGGTGTAGTGTTTGCCCAAATAATTGGCCTCAAAAGCTGGTCATGAACAGATGTTAGCTGCAGCGTATAACGATAAGTGTAAACAGTGGCAGACCCAAGTTTAAATATAGAATTGACAGTCACTTAATTGACGTGTGAAGACCCCTGAAAGTCTCCGACTATGCCTTGTTTAGGCAAAACATTGCTGTACTTTGGGGAATGTGCATTTTACAGATGTCTGTAAAATACATAAATAGTACATGAGTAGGGACTTAATATACACGTACATGTGTGCATATTTTCATTCTGCGTTGACCGCTGATCCACATACACTTACAAGTACGACATACAGTAGCTGGTGACAATTTACAACTTATTTTTAGAAGTATTAAATGAAGACACTTTGTATATCCTGTACCCGAACGATATAAAGTGTAAATTAGGTTTGTGCAAGGGGGAAGGAAGCATCTCCGACCCCATAAGGTATATATATATTTTCAATCAGCACTACGAGAGAAATGAATCAAGATAGGTGCGTCCGCCCGTCTGGATGAAAGCCTATATACATAATAAAACAGTTTGTCTCGACTGACTGATTGGTGATCAACGCTCAGCCCAAACAGTAAAAGCTAGGAAGCTGAAATTTGGACTCAGGTATTTTTTCATAGCATAGGTTGGCGATTTTGGAAAATTCGAGCTCCAAAGAGGGGAAAACACGCTCCAACGTTTGTATGAAAAATCTATGTACAATTTCCATCTGATCAACTTCAAACTTAGTTTGTATACTCTTAGAAAAATTCCAAGAAAAACTGCATGATGGGGCACAAAAGGAAACCGCGTCAGCAGCCCACTGCCCAAACGGTAAGAGCTAGAAAGCTGAAATTTATGTTCAAGTCTCTTAATATAGTAAAATTAAAAAAAAAATTTTGATCGATTTTACCTCTTTTGGTATTCGAACTCACGTAAAGGGTGTTGCACATATACAAAGCAATTGCGTCTATGTGAGTGTATGTATGTATATGCTCGTATATTCGTGTCTGAGTAAATATGTCAGCAGCAAATATATTTATGGCTATAACTTCTTGTTAAATCGGTCTATCATAGTGAAACTTGGCATACGGACACATAATAACTAACTGAAGGCATTTACAAAATTTGCGTTCGAAATTTCAAGAATTACGGGAGTTGCGATTTGTGGGGGAGAGGAAGGGAAATTCCAAAATGCACAGTTTCTGCGTATTCCCATAACGCAACTTGGGCTAAAATTTGGTGTTCCTAGGTCTTATAGTCTCCGAGATATAGGCGATTATACGAATGGAAAATCGGGAAAATCCCCATAGGGGGGAAGTGGGGGGAAATCAAAAAAATAAAACAAATTCGTATAGAATACACATATAACGCATCTTCGTGCAAAATTTGGTGTCTCTATCTCTTATAGTCTCTGAGATCCAGGTGTTCATACGGACGGACAGACGGACAGACAGACAGACAGGGCTAGATCGACTCGTCTCGTCATGCTGATCAAGAATATATATACTTTGTGGGGTCTGCCACGCCTCCTTCTGCCTGTTACATTTTCAGCTCCCGCAAACCTAATATACTCTTGTACATTTTATGTACAGAGTATAAAAATTCGATCTCCAAAGGGGGGAAAACATGGTCATGGAGCTTGAATTATTGGGGTATTTATATTTCGTCACTTTTTTTCAAATAAAAAGTTTGTGTTATTAATGTTGTCCGATCGATTTCAAATTTAATATGCGTAATCAACATAACTATATCTACAACAGTGCAAATCCATCTCTCGTAGTGAACAGACGTGTACTTCGGAGCTTATTGATTTAGTTATCACCCACCGCGACAAATTTAAAGAGCTTATCTACAAATCTAAGTTGTAAACAAACGTGTGAAGAGAATTCGAAACCTAACTGTCAAAGTTATCTCGCGAGCATGGACAAGGCAGACCCCCCCGATCGCCAAAAGGCGAATACAGTTTTTAAAGCATAACGAAATAAAAACACTTACAACACCCGGTCAAAAATACTTAATAATATCACGTAAAAGTGACAATGAAAAACAATTTAAAATATCCCCATTTGCTATAAAAAAAATCGTTGACTCAACCTCTGGAGGTCCAGTTATCTCCTGCCAACATTTAAGAAGCGGGGACCTACTTATTAAAACAAAAAATGAACTACAAGCGCAGAAATTACTAAAAATGACACACTTCACAATTAATATGCCTGTTACTGTCTCGGAGCACCGTTCCCCTAACTATACTAAGGGAGTCATCTACTGCAATAATCTACGTGATGTTTCAGAGGAGGAAATTCAAGATGAACTCAAAACCCAGAATGTAACATTGGTTAAAAAAATAATGCGTAAAATTGACGGTAATCTTAGGGAAACTGGACTTCACATCCTTACTTTTGCCTCGACCAATCTCCCAGACTCCATTATGATTGGATATGAGAAGACAACTATACGCCCATACATACCGGCACCAATACGATGCACCAATTGCCTACACTTCGGTCATACCTTTAAGGTATGCCAAAACGAAAAAACATGCGCAAAATGTGGCTCATTACATCATACTAATGAAAATGAGATTTGTACTAACAATAATAGCTGCATTAACTGCAAAATACACAAATTAATTTACTACAACCATTCATCTATTGATAAGAAATGTCCGGTATACACAAGGCAACAAGAAATAATCGCAATATAAACCATCCATAAAGTTGACAATAAATCAGCATACGAAATGTACAACAAAAGACACCAAATCAATTTCCAAACATACGCTGATATTACTAAAAGTACCAAGTCAAACATTACTACCCAACCAACAATAGATAACCCAGCCACAACTACAACCAATACCATGACCCGCAATATTCCAAGCTATGACGATCTAGAAGTACTTTCAGCTCTAACAAAACCCTCCCCATCTATAGCCTCTAAAATAAGCCAACAACTTAAGCCAACAAACAATCAAAAAATCAAAATTTTACCACGCTCAACATCAAAACAAGTAAAAAAGCTAAAGTCGGGTGTCCCGACTTTGAAATACTCTGTACATATGTTTACAATAATTATAGAAAATAAAAAAATTAAGAAAATAAAAAAAAAATTTGATCGATTTTACCTCTCTCGGTATTCGAACTCACGTAAAGCGTGTATAATTGCACATTTACATAGCAATTGCGTCTGTGTGAGTGTATGTATGCCTATGCGCATCTATTCGTGTCTGTGTAAGCATTTTCGCAGTCAACACAACAGCAACATCAACAACAGCCGCGGGCAGCGCTTGAGCAGCGCTGCAGCAGCGCTGCATCAGCAAATATATTTATGGCTATAACTTCTTGTTAAATCGGTCTATCATAATGAAATTTGGCATACGGACCCATAATAACCAACTGGGGGTATTTCCAAAATTTTAGTACGAAATTTCAAGAATTAGGGGAGTTACGATTTGCGGGGTAGAGGGGGGAGGGAGGGGAATTCCAAAATATACATTTTCTGCGTATTCACATAAGGCATCTGGGACTAAAATTTGGTGTTCCTAGGTCTTATAGTCTCCGAGATATAGGCGATTATACGAATGGAAAATCGGGAAAACCCCCATAGGGGGGAAGTGGGGGGGAAAATCAAAAAAATAAAACAAACTCGTATAGAATACACACATAACGCATCTTTGTGCAAAATTTGGTGTCTCTATCTCTTATAGTCTCTGAGATCCAGGTGTTCATACGGACGGACAGACGGACAGACAGACAGACAGGGCTAGATCGACTCGTCTCGTCATGCTGATCAAGAATATATATACTTTGTGGGGTCTGCCACGCCTCCTTCTGCCTGTTACATTTTTCAGCTCCCGCAAACCTAATATACTCTTGTACATTTCATGTACAGAGTATAACGAGCACTTCAAAAACTAAAATGCAAGTCTACTAATAAATCCAAGCCACACCCCGAAACTGACGACAACTCTGATGACAGCACCGCTTATCACTGTAGCAAATATCAATTAATACTTTAATATTAAGAAAATAAAATCCTTTTGTATTCCCCATGACCATTATTATTTTACAATGGAATATACGCGGCTACATTAACAACTACAGTGAACTACAAATAATTATAAAAAATGAATACCCACACATAATAGCATTACAAGAAACTCACCTACATAACCCAAATAACATTCCAATTCCTGCTAACTACTCACTTTATTCTAATAACTACTCGCCCAGTTTTGGAGGTACCGCTATTTTAATACACAATTCAATACAAAACAAAGAAATATTACTTCCGGACTTTGATGCAACAGCCATTGAAATTAAATCTAATAAAAAATTCAATCTAATATCAGCCTATATTCCTCCCCACCAAACCTTTAATGAAACCAACTTACATAATGTACTGAATTTCAACAACAATACCAGCGCACTAATTTTTGGGGACTTTAACAGTTGGGGTACGCTATGGGGCTCTCCAAAAAACAACTCAAGAGGCAAAACTATCACAAACTTTTTAAACAACACTAACTACATATTATTAAATGATAAATCACCTACACATTTCTCGACACATAATACATACACACACATTGATATCTCCTTTTGTACTCCAGACTTATTTAATGATGCCCATTGGCACATCCTAGATGATCTACATGGCAGCGACCACTACCCAATAGTTATAGCCCTCTTTCACAACAATAAACAGACTACTACAAGGCGCACACCTTGCTATCCTACAGACCTCTACAAACAGACCGAGCAAAAATGTACCATGGTGGAACCAGAAACTACAAAACCTGAATAATGAAAAAAAAAACGTGCTGCCAACAAACTTAAAAAATATATAACAAACGATAACATAATAAATTTTCGTAAAGCTGCAGCAAAATTCAGAAGAGAGCTCAAAATAGCTAAAAAAGAATCTCTCTACAATTTCAGCTCCGAAATTCAACCCCTTACTCCCACAAGCAAAATCTGGTCTAATATTAGGCGCTTTTGTGGCCTCACAACAACAAAGCAAATCCATATAATAAATAGCCCCATATCTGATATCCCAATCTCCGATAATTTCGAAATAGCTAATTGCTTTGCAAAATTTTGGTCTGATCAATCCAATGATTCCAACTTTCCCGACACTTTTATAAACAACAAATACGCGAATACTTTTCCGTACATTGCTTGCCCGTCTCGGACGGCACATCAAATAGAATCCGACATATCTGCTGTAGAACTACACTCAGCACTCACTAGCTAAAAGGGACATACGCCTGGCATTGACCGTATCTCTTATCCTATGATCTCCAATCTCTCTTCAATAGTTAAAAATAGAATACTTAATCACTACAATAATACATTCAACCAGTTTATACCTCAAACTTACAAAACTAGTCTTACCATTCCTATATTAAAGCAACACTCTAGTAAAACAACAATAGACTCCTATCGACCAATATCTCTAAACTCTTGTTTGGCTAAAGTTCTGGATAAGATTATTGCCAAAAGACTATGGTGGTTTGTCCGAACAAACAAACTGACAAACATACCAACCAAGTCGGTTTTAAACAAAGGAAATCAGTTGTAGACAATCTAGCATATTTAGATCATCTAATAACAGACTCCCTTTCACACAAACAACATATCTCAATCCTTTCCTTGGACTTTAGCAAAGCATTTGACAAAATCGGTATCCATGCAATAATTACAAGAATGGAATATAGGACCCAGGATCGTAAAATATATTATTAATTTCATGAAAAACAGAAAAACTATGTGTCGTATTCACAAGAATATATCTGAAACCTTTCCACTCCATAACGGCATCCCACAAGGCTCACCCATTTCCGTAATATTATTCCTTATCGCCTACAACAAGCTTTGCAATTTAATTACCATAAAACGAGACCTTTCATTCCTAGCCTATGCTGACGACTTCAACATTATAATAAGATTCAATCAAAAACAAAGACAGGAGACAAAAAATCTTGATAATTTATTCGTCAGTATCAACCAATGGTGTGCTTTTTCCGACTCATCATTATCTCCTACCAAATGCAAACACCTACACATTTGTAGAAAGCACGAATGTAAATCCAATATATCAACAAGCAATTTTATAATGCCAAAAGTAAGCTATATGAAGATTTTAGGTCTCACAATAGACTCAAAATATAGATGGACAAAACATATTGATACTTTACTTTCATCTTTAACAAAAAAACTTAGTATAATCAAATGCCTCTCAAACCCTGCAATACACACACTCTTATACTACTAACTAAAGCACTCAAAAATCGATTATGGTCTAATGTTTTATGGTAACTGCCCAAAAACACACTTAAAACCCATACAAACTATTCTAAACTGTGCAACAAGATCAGCTCTAGGAGCTTTCAGAACTACCCAAACCTTAAATTTATTATCAGAAGCCAATATAAACACAATCATAGAACGACGGGATTTCCTACAAGCTAAATTAATAAAAAACCTTACCTTTTCAAATGACTCACCTTTGAACAAAATCTCAAAAACAATCAATAAAAAACTTAACTGTAAAACAAAAATTCCCTCCGCAGTTATAAATTCAGTAAAACTATGCCAGCAACATAACATTAATCTTCATCCCATCCCTGAAGTCAAGTCAAACCAACCTCCATGGAAATTTCGACAAGACACAATAAACACTGAACTTACTAAATTAGACATGCATAACACCAATAAATTCATGTTTGTCCAACACTTTCTCAATATAAAAAACAAATTTAATAAACACACATTCCTATACACCGACGGATCAAAAACAGATAATGCAACCCCATATGCAATTACATCAGAAACCGAACCATTTAAAATTGGACTACTAACAAATGACACATCAATTTATTCCGCTGAAATTATAGCAATCTATGAAGCAATTAAAATAGCAAAAACTAAACGCGGAAAATTTATAGTCTGCTCAGATTCACTGTCTTCTTTAAAAGCAATCAATAATATCAGTAACCACAACTATTACGAAGCTAGGATTAGAACACAACTTATGCAACTGTATCCTAAAATACGACTACTATGGGTCCCTGGACACAAAGGTATCAAGGGTAACGAGCTTGCTGATCAGAAAGCCAAAGAGGCTTTTAAATTTGTCCTGACCTACACTCAAAAGCTGAATACGGACGACCATAACAGGGTATTAAAAAATAATCTGGCAAACTTAAAACTGAGCAGAATCATTCAAACATCCAACTGGTATCAATCTTTAAACCAAAACCAAACTACCCTCGAGCAATTTAGTAAACTAATTGATCATAATATTATTTCCAGACAAAATCAAATAAAAATAATTCGACTTAGACTAGGCCATACAAAATTTTCTCATGAGCACCTTTTAGACCACACTAAAAGTAACAACTGTACACACTGCCAAAATAGCACTCCGATCTCTGTCCAACATACCCTTTTAGACTGTCCATCCCCATTCCTAAGGAATTTACGTCAAAAATTTTTCAAAAATACCAATCCACTCTCATCACTAACCAACCCTACCAATACCAATCTAACGAATTTAATAAAGTTTCTAAAAGAAGCAAACTTAACCATTTAATTTTAAAAAAATAAAATTAATAAATAATAAAATTAAGAAAAGAAATTATTATACTATTATAGTTCTGTAAATATTGTAATTAGACTAGATACCTATACCACAAACATAGCCAAAGGCCTTCTGTAGCCAGGGCTATTCCATACTAAACTAGGTTATAAATTTATTTGTAATCTTGTTATATATATAAAAAAAAAATAAAAAAAACTATATCTACAAATTGGCATTCAACGATTTTCGAAATATAGAAATACATACATATGTATGTTTTTTACTTGGCATATACAGCAACAATAAATAACAAAGAGCGCAAAATATCAAACAGTTGGGGACATCACATAAACACACAGAGTGACACACTCACAGACACAAACAGAGATGGGCACAATCGGTGCTTTTTATTGTGGCATGGCACATCGCTGCACTGCGTGGACACGAGTCCCGTGTTTCATATTCCAATTTCGTGCGCGTTCGTGTTGACTCAATAAAGCGCGAAAAGGCACGAACGTGAAAATGCGATGGAAACAAAAACAGCACGACCAAAATATAATTTAAAGTTAGGAAATACTCTAATATTTATTTCAGTTTTTTTCACAAAGTCTATCTTAAAACATTGTGTTATGTACATACATGTATTTTATTGTTGAAAAAAGCAAGGGATTTGGAGCGCATAATATTAATATTTTAGGAAAAAGTAATATCATGTACATATATCGGTCCTTGGAAATTGGACTACCATATACACATGTATACAAGCATAAATTAAATATCGACATTCTCCTAATTATTCAATTTACAAAGAAAATTTTGTGTATCCACCGTGCATACGGATTCGTGATGACCATCGATACATGCCCATCTCTAGCACCTCTGCTGATCGCATATTTACAAGCGATTTACCGTTAAAAGGTTGCGTCAGCTAAAAACGCTACAAATGTATTCTGAAGAATTCTGGGAGACATTAAGCGTTAAGCTTTTCCGTGAATGTATTCTTGCGATTTGCAAAAGCAGAAACACGCCTTTTACACTCACAACATTTATATTCAAAAAACACATATGGATAATTGTTGACTTGTAAAATTGAATACATACAGTTAAATATGTGTATATGTATGTACATGTATATGAGAATAGATAGCGCCTGCATCAAAAAATAAAATGTATATATTTATGTACATATCAAAGTTGCCAGACGTCCCGATTTTTAAATCAAAATTAAATATCCAGCGCGGGACATGCTCAAAAAGCTGACAAAATGTAGGTGAGCACCAAGAAGAGGTTTTAGAGAAATATAAATCAGATTAACTTTAAACTTGGTTTATGTATTTACTCTGAGAAAGAATACAGAATAAATTGCGTTGTATTTTTGTAACCTCTCATTAAAGAGTAGAAGAAATAATTATGATATATGTATGTATGTATATAAGTACATATGTATGTATGCTCATTTAAATGTTGTGCAGTTGCATAAGTTGACCAAATAACGTTGCCAAATTGTAGAGCTTTTAATTCTGGAAATTACTTGCCTTGATTTTTGCCTATCATACTATATACACAAATATACATATGTACAAGTATGTGCATATATACATATGACATATGAGCTGCAAAATAATCGATGTTGGCAGCATCGATCTTTTACGATTAATCACGATTTTTTCAAAGATAAAATCGATTAATCGTTAAGGAAGAAAAATTAAATTTTATTTTTAATGAGATCAATTTTATTCATTTAGCCATTGGTTTTTGTTTGTAAGCAGCAACTGGTCTACAATAAACGGTTTTAAAGCGGCGCGTCTGTCAGAGAGGATGCATCCCGCCTTACTGAACATGCGTTCAGACGCAGTGGAGCATGCTGGAATGCACAAATACTTAAAGATGCAAATTTGAAAGTGTTGCATCTCATGCACATGTGTCTGAAATTTGCAAAAATATAATTAGCAGTTAAGTTTTTATGTAGATGCCACAAGTATTACCTTTCAGTATTTCAATGGTGGTGTGCCCTGCAACTCGTGAGGTTTTTCTAAGAATTGTCTCACTAATATTATAGATTGTTTTTGTGCTATTTTGTCCTGCACAAATGCATAAATTTGCGATGTTTTAGTGCTTGGATAATCAGGATGTGTTGGTGGCTCTTCGATGTCGGGAGTCGGATTTCCGTATGAACTACAAGCTGCAATTTCATTTTGCAACAAAAAACCTGCTGCGTCGGCGGTGGAAGAACAACCGAACCCTTCTTTTTTAAATCTTGGGTCTAAAATCGTTGCAAGTTGAGCTACGCTTCGATTTTCAAAAGGTGCAAGGTGACGATTAACTCCATCTATCAAAGAGTTGTAGGTTTTTATTCCTTCCGCTGTCTTAAGTGCCAGTTTTGCATTGTGTGAGCGATGGTATAGATCAACTGTAGTCGGAATTATTTCGGAAATTGTAACTGTGCTGCTCGAAGAGATCCGGGTGGTTGCACTGTCAAACGGCATAAACAAGGAAACTAAGACCTTCATTATGTTTATGTCATCCGCAGTCAATGGATGGGGTGCTTTTAAAGTACTAAAAAGCACGGAAGAAATGTTACTGTTTAATTTTAATTCTTTCCATCATCTTGAATGAGCTGTTCCATCTCGTGGGTACTTCCTGTATTAGGCTAAGAGGGTTTTCATCATTTTGAGCGGCTTTTAATTATGCATATGCAATAGAACTGCTTTTAAAAAAGGTGACAATCCGCTTGCATCTTGATAATGTGCCTGTTATAAAATCTCGAGCCAATACATCCTGAATTACAAGGTTTAGGCTATGTACAAAGCATGGCAAATGCCTTTTCTTCAGAATTTCACAAGCTTTTATCATATTTGCTGCATTGTCCGTAACAATAGTAGAAGTTATATGTAAAATATTCCAATCCAACAGTACTGCACGCAAAGAGTCAGCTATGTTATTACTTGTGTGATCGGTATCAATATCAAGTTTGTTCGTTGATAAAACAGCTTCTCTTAATACAAAGTTCTTGTCTATGAAATGGCAAGTAACTGTGACATAAAATTCATTCGCCCGCGATGTCCAACCATCCGTTGTCACGGCACAGTATTCTACGTTATTGAGAATCAGAACAAGTTTTTCTTTCATTTCGTTGTACATATTTTGTAGATGCTCGTTTCTCAAAGTTGTCCTACTGGGAAATATATACCTTGGATTAAGGTAATGAACGAAATCACGAAATCCACGATCTTCAACAATGCGAAAGGGTTGCATATCGATGGCAATCATGCGGGTTAATGCTTTGTCAAGCTCCTTTTTATGCGCGGAATAGTTTTCATAATAATTGTTTGAACTGAAGAAAGTTTTTATGGTCGCCACAGGCTTCGACTCATGGGACAAAGTCGTATGAGCCCGCAATAGATGAATAAACAAGTTTGTTGTGTTTCCACCTGTTCTATAATCCAAACCACAAGTTTTGCATTTTGCGGAGTTTCCCCCTGGCACCCTTGTAAAAAAATTCCAAATGTCGGACTTTTGCCTTCCCTTACGCTTGCCACTTTGCTCCACGGACTCGTCAACTTCCTTGATATTACCTAAAAACAAAAATTAAATAAAAAATGTAAATAAATTCCAAAAAATAAAATAAACCCGTCCTTTCTCAGACCTAGGAGAATCTGGATGCCAACTTTAGTTATTCTAACTTTTATAGTTTCTGAGATCCTTGCGTTCATCCAGACGGACAAACGGACGGACAGACGGACGGACATGTCTAGATCGATTTCTCTCGTCATGTTGATTCAGAATATATATACTTTATGGGGTCGGAGATGCTTCCTTCTGCATGTTACATACTTTGCACAAACCTAATATACCCTTTTTACCCTACGGGTACAGGGTATAAAAATGTGTGCAGTTTTGCGCATAAAATATACGTGTACATACATACTTGTACATACATACATATATCACATGTCGGCGTGCCCCCCACTGCTTAACTAAATGAGGCATAAATTCTTACCTGATTTCAAAAATTTATCCATTTATCCGTTTCCTCTTCTCCAAGCCACCAACACACCAATCTAATCAAAAATATAAAAGAAAATATAATGTTTTGATTTATTTGGCAATTATTAATTTTACTTACTTTTACCGCTTAGCCACTCAGCCTCACCTTCAAGCAGGGTTCGTAAAATGTGCTCGCAACCCGTTTGGGCCCGCGAGAAATTCCGCTGCGGGTTTTTTCGGGTCGCTGCCCACAGAGGCGGCGGGTACGATCGGGTCGTCTGGCAGAGGTAACGGGTCGTGCGGGTACGTCGTGCTTCGGCGCGGGTCGCTGCCGACAGCAGCAGTGTCGTACGAGCCGGTCTGCAGTAGCAGAGCGCTCGTTCGTGGTAGGCAGGCATATGTACATATGTATGTGTGAAATTTGTATGATGGTATGCTTGTGTGTATATATTTTTTTAAGGCGAAATGTGCGCGATCTCTTTCACTCTGTACCTGCTGCCTACTCCGTTTAAGCTTGACGCAGCTGTTTTGCCTACGTTTGCACAGTGGTACCTGATACTATTTTTAAGGATCCGTGGCGTTGCAACTTGGCATAATTTAAAGGGACTTTTTTACCTATTTACTCCTATACCAATAAAACCTACAGTCAATTCGTATACTTCATTCACATAACGAATAGTAAAAAATATTTTAGTAACCAGTTTATTTATTTGCAAATGATCTTTTTATTTCCTATAGCCAAAAAAATCGAAAGACATTCATTCGGAAATCTAGTATCAGGTACCACTATGCAAACGCAGACAAATCTGCTGAGTGAGGCTATAAGGGATGAAATGCATCGCGCACATTTTACCTTGAAATATATACACACAAGCATACCATCATACAAATTTCACACATCACACATACATATGTACGACCCGATCGTACCCGCGGCCTCTGTCAGCAGCGACCCGAAAATACCCGCGGCAGAATTTCTCACGGGCCCGAACGGGTTTGCCCGCATTTTACGAACCCTGCCTTCAAGCAAATGCGTTCATTTAAATTTACACGATTAATCGATTCTCAACAAATGAAATCGATGCTTAACAAAAATGCTAAAAATCGATTAAATCGATTCTGCATCGATGCATTTTGCAGCTCTATATGTCATATGTACATACAAGTATAACCATAGTATTTACATAGTATTTATTATACTTTAGGGCCTAGCCCTCGAATCGTACCAAAGTAATTTGCTATTTGGGAAATGAACTCTTTAAAAACTTTAGAGAGTGTCGGAAGAGAAATATCATATAGTAAATAAACGTATAATTGGAAGCACAAATACTGAGCCAGCAAAGACGGGCAATACCTGCTAGTTAATGTATAACTCTCTACTTTTATTTCAAGTAAATCGCAAATTTAAGAAAAGTTATAAGCGAAACAATTTAGCTTAAGTACTAGGCCCACACGGCGGCTAAATTTTTTTGGGTGTAGAGTAATTCACTGTCGTGATTGTAACATTGTTCTTCTTTCGAACTGCACACAGTGCACATTGGGCCAATTTCCCTTTTTTTTTTTGGCATAAAGTCGAATATTAGAGATAGAGAGGAATTGATAATACTACACAGTAAGTGAGAAAAATTTCAAGTCAATCCCACCACGCCCACCTATACCGCTCATATTAGGAACCATTGTTGAGGAGTAGGTTTGTTATTATTATTTGATATTTGAATATGAACGAAATGAAAATTGTGCTATATTTAGTGCTCTCATGTTGTTGCATTGTGCTTTGGTTAAGGAGTTGTCAATTAGAAATGCAAGAGCTTTACTTGGAGTGATTGATATCGGCTTCGAGAATGACAGATTCTTTCTAATCTTGATTTACTTGAAGTAATAAGAGTGTTCTTTAAGACGAAAGAAGTATCGCTCATTTTGGCCTTTTTCGCTGAAATTGATGCTGCATGCTCAAGGAGACTTTTTCTTCATTATCGGCCAGTTCTGCTGCAATTTTCCTTTTCAGTCGTGATCCAACATCACTGTTTGACACTGGTGGCCGTCCCGTTTTATAGCCTGAAGTAACTTGGTCGTTGATTCTCTTAGCTACCACAATCATGCTTGACAAAAGGCAACTGGAATTCTTCCTCTTAAATAAGGCGGCCAACCGTCCCGGATTGTGCGGGACAGTCCCACATTGACAGCTGTTGTCCCGCATTGAAATATCAAATAAAATAGTCCCGGAAAACATCAAAAGCGTCCCGCATGTCCCGCAATACCAACATTACTTTTAAAATACATAACATAATAGACTAAGAGATAGAAACCCGTTCTGTTTATCTATTGCACTTGTAGAGTTGCCACATCAGCACCGATATCGATAAGCCCGAAAAGCTCTCCTGTTGAGTATAAATGCATGAACAGACAGTCAGTTCCGTTTAAAAAACGCGCTTACACAGACACGGCTATTAATCATAATTTTAAATTATACCAAATGCCACCAACCATAAAGCGAAGAAGAATATCCTTTTTTACAAAAGTATCTTACAGCTTCGGATGTACGTTGTAACAAATGTAATGGAACATTTTCTGTTGCTCACGGCGGCAAACATGATATACATAGGCATTTGGCGTCAGGCAAACACAAACAAGCACTGTCCGCTGCAGGTACATCGTCGTCTGTAACAAATTATTTTCGTCAAGAAAAATTCGGAGAAAAAAAAGCAGAACTGGCTAAAGCTGAAGGTTTGTGGGCTTTCCATACCGTATGCCACAATCACAGTTTCCGATCGTTGGAATGCACTTCCAAATTAATCCAAACAGTTTTTGAAAAGAAGTTTTGTTGTGAAAAAACCAACGCTGGTAAGGTTTTTTAGCCCGACAATGTTATCCTAGAAAAGCATTCCCTTAAAGAAAAAGTAGTTGGTTTTTGCGCAGATAACGCTAATACGAATTCGGTGGCGTGCGGCGTGAAGGTCAATGTAATGTCTTTAAAAAACTTCAAAAAGGATTAGGAAGGCAAATAATAGGTGTCGGCTGTGCTGCCCACATCATACACAACGCTATTCAAACAGCAGCAGATTTGTTACCAGTAGATGCTGAACTCATAGTTACTAAGATTTATTCTCACTTTTATATATACACTGTACGCGTAGAAAATCTTAAAGAATTTTGCGAAGGAGCGGAATTTCAGTACCAAAGATTATTGGGATTCAGTAAGACGCGATGGCTTGCACTCTTGCCTGCAATTGAGAGAATTTTAAAAATGTATTCGCCACTAAAATCATTTTTTTTATCGCAAGAAAAATGTCCTGCTCTGCTTCACAAGTTTTTCTTAAATGAATGCTCAGAGCTCTGGCTAAAATTTATATATGGGCAAGCATCATTATTCAATAACTCGATAAAAATAATGGAAGGAGCCAGATTAGCATTACAGAAATTTCACAATTGCTTGAGGATTTAAAAAACAAGTACACTACTCGGTTAGAAAATGAATACATTCCGCTAACCATAAGAAAGGACTTGACAAGGCTAGTAGAGAGCGGTCAAATCAACAAAAACTATTTTATGGGACATATTCGGAACTTTTACAATAACTGCAGCCAATACTTGGAAAATTATTCCCATCAATATAACGAGTTCAATATGTCTACTTGGATTCAATTAAAACGCCGTTTGAAATGGATAGATGTTCAGCAGACATACCAACAACTGCTGGTTCATATACCAACGGCTGCTGAAAATTTAAATGAAGACAGCTTGTTCGACGAAGTGAGCTACGTGCCAAACTTCGTTACCGAAAACGGCTTGCAGAGGTGGGAGGAGACTAAAAGCGATATAGAACAGCGGTGGATAGAGGTGTTTAAAAATCTGAAAGACAAAGGAATGCCAACGAAAAATTGCTTATCTATCGTCCAGTACCTTCTTTGTTTAGCAGGGACAAATGCTCCGACGGAACGAGTATTTTCATTAATGAATGCTTTATGGACATCGGATAAAACGTTGAGATCAATTTAATGAAATTATAAATGAAAATCCACTACTGATTAAAAAGTTTCACTCGTGTGAAAAATATGATTTTAAAAAATAAAGAAACATCAACAAATTATATAATTCTCATATGGAGGTAATTATTTAAATGTACACACCCGACTCAGCGAAAATAACCCCTCCTTAAATTGTCCCGCATTGGCTTCTTAAAAAGTTGGCCGCCTTACTCTTAAATGCTGGAATTGTTCGATTACATTTAGGTAGATTTTTATACCCTGTACCCAAAGGGTACAAGGGTATATTAGTTTTGTGCGAGTGCACATGGAACACACAGAAGGAGGCTTGGTAGACCCCACAAAGCATATATATTCTTGATCAGCATGACAAGCCGAGTCGATATAGCCATGTCCGTCTGTCTGTATGAACGCAAGGATCTCCGAAAGTATAAGAGCTAGAATAACCAAACTTGGTATACAGATTCTCCTGAGCCCGAGAAAGGACGAGTTTGTTCATTTTTTCTGATCCACCCCCCCCCCCCACTCCCCCCTATTAACGACTTTCTATAACTCCTGGAATTCTAGGAATTTTAAACTAAAATTTGGTAGTCACATTAGGTTAGTGATTATATATCCGTATACCAAGTTTCATTATGATAGAATGATCGGAAAGAAAGTTATAGCTATATAACCAGGCCCAATGCACACATACATACTTGTACATATGTACAAGTACACAAACACGCATAAGGCACGATTCTGATGTAAATGTATGTATGCATGCATGGAATATTTTATATTTAATTTAGTTAATTAATTAAATTAATTTAGTTAATTAATTTAATTAAATTAATTTAGTTAATTAATTTAGTTAATTAATTTAGTTAATTAATTTAATTAATTTAATTTAGTTAATTCGTTTAATTTAATTAATTAATTAATTAAACTACTTTTTTGTGGGGTGGTACAGGGTATTTAAGAGTTGAGCCTGCTCGACTTTAGCATTCCTTTCTTGTTTATAATCGAAAAATGAAAACTCCTTTTTTTCCAAGTATTGTCGGCTTTGAAGGCGATTGATACTATATCATTTAAATGAAATTTACTAACAATTCAATCAAAACACGCTTTTTATAGCCTGTACCCAAAGGGTGAAAGGCTATACTAGTTTTGTGCGCATGTATGTAACACACAGAAGGAGGCGTGGCAGACCCCACAAAGTATATATATTCTTGATCA